CAGAAATAGATTCATGCCATACCATCAAACTGAAGGCAAACTCTTAATGCACTTCAATAATCATTAAAATCTAATTGCAGTTTTGTTTCAAATTTCTCCTACTGTTCGCAGATGGATACCTCATTCACCTCTTTTTTTCTCAGTATATGACTTCATGTACCGATAATAAAGAACTTCCTTACCACCCCTCAACAAACTCTGCATACTCCAGCCCACCCTGTCTTTCTTTATTTTTCTCCTTCAGGAAGAAGTTCAGTCCTTTTAGCAAAGCTCTTCTCTTGTTTTAATTTTTGCCCATTTCATTCCATTTCCCTTGGGACCTTTCTCCATTGATACTTGTACCCAACATCTTATATTATCAATGTCCTATTTTTGGAGATTTCATTTATTCTTGATGTTACTGCATTCATCACAGGCCAGGCTTGCATTATCACAAGAACATATAAGAAGAAAGAAAATAAAGAGAAATCATATTTGAAAATATACTGGATGGTAATTTCCACAAAGCAGCTCACACTATCATCATATATTCAATAATTAAGAAGGTTTATTTGTATATATTTAGGAAATACAAAAGAATCTACAAATTAATTATTAACATTCTTAAGCAAATTAAATATTGTCATTGGATCCCAGTCAATAGAGAGAAATCAACTATATTCCTTGATATTCTCTGAAGAAATAGAACTTTACTTAAGTAATTTACCTAAACCTTTTTTTTAAAAAAAGATTTATTTATTTATGCATACAAGAACTGGGGTATAGGCCAGAGGTGCTGGGGGCAAGAGGATTCACCAGAGACAGAGTGGGGAACATAACAGGCAGATTGACTGAAGTACACTGCTGAGGGAGCAACAGGCAAGTCAGGAGAGGTCTGCTGCACCATGTGGGTAGCTCCCTGGCCTGGGATTGAACTAATACTGCAGAGACTGAGGATAGCTTCATAGTGCTGTGCCTAACCCCTTGTGCCACCAGGGAGGCCTTAAATCTTATTTGACTTTTCCAGCTCCAGCATCTTCCTTCCTCTGCTCTCTGCCCTCTCTCCTTGCTTCTACCCTTCCCCTTTTCCTCTCCATCTTTCTTACTCTCCATCTTTCCCTTTCCTTCTGACTTTCTTTTACTTTTTTTCTCACTTTTCTTCTTTCTTTACTTCCCTTTTTTCTTTCACTATCTCTCTGTTTGTAAATCTTCATCATTTGACATATATTGAAAAATTTTAACATTTTGTTTATGCAATTATTTCATATAAATGAAATTTATGCATGTATTAGAAAATTGCTAAGATTCTTTCTTAATTGCACTCTCATTGTCACCCTTACTTAGAGATTACTTTTAATTTCACTGAAATTTTACAGTAATTACTTCAAAGAATCTTACCTATTTTAAGCTAATTTTATTTACAACAATTTGTTTATTAATCATAAGAATGTTAGAAATATGATCCACCTATTGTTTCTCAATTATGTGAATTTTGGGACTGAAAAAAATAGTCATACAAACTGGATGTCACCAGAGGAAGGCAGTAGCGGATCGGTGAATATTCCAAACCACTGTCCTAAGCAATCAATGTGGAGACTTAACTACAATGACTCAAAACTAGCCATCTTGTCAGTTACCAAGAATTTGGATACAGCACATTGTTTGATTTAAAAATAAAAAAACAAAGCAGCCATTAAGAACACGGCCTATTTTCGTAACAAAATTCAGGTATACTTTTTTCTTTTTTGCTATACTGACTTTTTAATTCTCACGTTTTTTTTCCATGCTGCTAAAATGCAGACCATCTATAGATTGCTAATCACTCACTATGCATAAATGTTTTGCATAAATTGATAATAGGAAAACTAAAGAAAGTCTGAACAATGGATATGGAGAAATGTTGCCACATTGGAATTTTACTTTTGCAAATGTTAATGACTTTGCCATTAAAAAATACTGTGAGTGCTAGTCTTGGGATCCATATGTTGTTAGAAGTTTTCCAGATGTCTAAGCAATATAATCCCATTCATTTGTATCTCTCTATAGCTAAGCCATCTGGTACAGTTAAGTACCAACAGCTTTACAATTATTCATGATTCTGTTCCATAGAATTCCACTTAAGCTATTGGATAGTAGATATCACAGATATACTATTATTAATTCTGAAACAGTTCCCCCATAATGTAGATAGATGTTGATGTTCCTATTAAGATATTGCTGTGTCAGTTCATTTTGTCCTCATTCACCAACACAAAGATGATATATATGGAATACTACTCTAAACATCCACAACTCCACTGATATTTTAATTCAACTATATTTTTTTAATATGACCAACATATTATAATATGACACATATGTTTGTATTCTTATGGCAGACATTATAGATTTACATATAAACTGTGATGCTATTAAAAGAGAAAGATTCAGGGGTTAGGTGTGTTTTCAAAAACTTTCATGAGTTCCTTCACTTTAATAGTTCCAGTAACATGGGAGAGAGAAGAACACCAGAAACACAATTCAGTTGGAATAAATAATACAAATATAACTGCTCTATTTTCTACATTGTTTTATCGTATAGAGTAGAATTTAACATTCAGTTAATAAATTTTCATTGAGCATGTGAAATGTGCCGTGGTAAGGATTATATAGTCAAATCAAGTGCAATTCGGTTTTTTTTTATGTTTTTATATATTTATATTTTATATATTTTTTTTTCATTTTTTACATCATTGTTCATTTTTAAACAATATTTGCTTCCCCCATCCCTTCAGCTATAGTCCCCATAGTTTCCTTCACCAATGCACCCGTGCACCTTCACCTCAGTCCCCTGTGCGCCTCCCTCCCTCCCTCTGATCCCTCTCCTGCCTCCTCCCCTGCAGTATGTCTCTGATTTATAATTGTCTGTTTTTGCTTTGTTGTGTTTTGTACTGTTATTATTTTTTACACTGATGTTTTATTGGGTTCCCCTATATTCCTGCTGTAAGTGAAAGCATCTTATATTTTTCTTTTTCCTTCTGGCTTATTTCACTGAGCATAATTCCTTCTAGCTCCATCCACATTGCTGCAAATGGCATGAGTTTATCTTTTTTGATTGCTGAACCATAATAATTAAAACAGTTTGGTATTGGAACAAAAACAGACACACAGACCAGTGGAACCAAATAGAGAGCCCAGAAATAAAACCACGCTTATATGGACAATGGATCTTTGACAAAGGAGCAAAGAATATGCAATGGAACATGGACAGTTTGTTCAATAAATGGTGCTGGGAAAACTGGACCACCACATGCAAAAAAAAAAAAAAAAAAAAAAGAAACTAGAACACTACTTCTCACCATGCACAAAAATCAACTCAAAATGGATAAGACAACTGGACATAAGACCTGAAACCATAAAATATATAGAAGAAAATATAGGTAAAACACTACAAGACATACATTGCAATAACATCTTTAAAGACTCATCACCCAAAGCAAAGAAAGTCAAGGAAAAGATAAACACCTGGGATTACATCACACTGAAAAGCTTCTGAACAGCAAATGAGACATTAACCAAAACAGAGAGACACCCCACTGATTGGGAAAAAAATCTTTGCACCCCAGTCAACTGATAAGCGACTAATCACAAATATATACAAAGACTCACAGGACTCAACAAAAACAAAATAAACAATCCAGTCAACAAATGGGCAGAAGAACTTAAAAGACATTTCTCCAAAGAGGAAATGCAAATGGCCAACAGGCATATGAAAAAATGTTCAACATCACTTGTCATCAGGGAAATGCAAATCAAAACTACCATGAGATACCATCTTACACCAGTGAGAATGGCACATATTAAAAAAACTAGCAACAACAAATGTTGGCGAGGGTGTGGAGAAAAAGGAACTCTTCTGCACTGTTGGTGGGAGTGCAAACTGGTCCAACCACTATGGAAAGCTGTCTGGAGGTTCTTCAGTCTACTAAAAGTGGAGCTACCATACAACGCAGCAATTCCACTACAAGGGATCTACCCAAAGGACACAAAAACATTGATTCAAAAGACCATCTGTACCCCTATGTTTATTGCAGCACTATTACAATAGGTAAAACCTGGAAGCAACCCAAGTGCCCAAAAATACATGACTGAATTAAGAAGATGTGGTATATATACACAATGGAATATTATTCAGCAATCAAGTGCAATTCATTTTTAAAGAGCTTGCTTCAGGAGCCTCCCTGGTGGCAGAGGGGTTAAGTCTCAGTGCTATCAAACTGTCACCAGCCACTGCAGCCTGAGTTAGATCCTGTAGGATAAATGGTTTTCAGGCTTTTCTGCGCTCCCACCATTAGGATTGCCCTGCCTCATGGGGCACCTGTAGTTGTTACATTGTTGCAAGCTGTCTTGCTTACTTCTGTGGGCCATGGGAGGAGTATTGAGATAGTCACCCAGAGAAGCAGAAGCAGGAAAGAGGAAGGAGAGAGAAGGGGAGAAAGAAGCCAGAGAAGCCCAGAGTGAAGACTTGCAGGGGGCTTGGAGACCTTCTGGCTTCCTGGCCCCCTGGCACCCCTGCCTACCGTGGACCTGTTTGCCACACTACATGCAAAGCTCAATAAAAGCCGGAGAAAGCCACTGAGGGCTTCTGGACTCCTCCTTTACCGGATCTGCAGGGATCATAGCTATCCTGCTCAGTGGCCTTCCTGCTGTGACAGATCCCTGGCCCAGGGAGCTAACTAAGCCACACATGCAGCAGACCGCTACTGTCTCACTGGCTGCTGCCCTCAGCAGTGTATTTCTACTGAAATACTCTGTCTCTGGTGAATCCTCTCACCCCCTGCACCTCTGGCTTATACCCCAGTTGGTGTATGCACACATAAATAAAATCTTAGGGGAAAAAAAAGGAGCTTGCTTCAGTCTCACTACTGTTATATAGAGGTTCAATCTATGTACTTTTATTTGCTTGAAGCTTGACAGATGCTTCTAAGGGAATAAAGCCACAGAATCAGGTGGTAGGAGTTTCAAAACTCCACATATCTTTAAAATACACATTTAATAAACATTGATGGGACACTTAATGTGCGCAAGTTTTCCAGCATTAAAAAAGCAAACACCTGAAAAAGAGAACAAATGCAGAAATATGTCATTGAGGTATTTTTGGACTAGAGAAAATATTAGAAATGTAAACAAACTATGAAGTAAAATAATAATAAGTATTATAAAAAAGAAGTGTAACTTCTGTTGTGAAGCATGCTAGGAAGAATTAATTCTGAAATGTTTTGTAGAATGTTGTCGAGAGAAAGAAATATTTGAGTCAGTGCGTGAAAAGTGACTTCATACCAGTTCTAAGCTGACATAATTTCTGGGTATACAGAAAATGAGAAACTCCTTAGGAGCATTATATATCTTTTTTTTAATTATTTTTTATTTTAACATTTATCATTTTTTACATTTTTTTAGACAATATTTGCTTCCCCCCACCCCCTCAGATTGAGTCCCTATAGAATCTCCTTCCCCAAGGCACCCGTGCACCATCACCACAGTCCCCTGTGCTCCTCCCTCCCTCCCTCTCACACCTCTCCCTCCTCCTCCCCTGCAGGATGTCTCTGATTTATAATTGTCTGTTTTTGCTTTGTTGTGTTTTGTACTGTTATTATTATTTTTTTACACTAATGTCGTATTTGGTTCCCCTATATTCCTGTTAGAGCATTATATATCTTTTTCTGTGTGATTATTTGTGGTGACATAGACCTACCATAAGCATTATCTACCAGAGCTTTTGAATTTTTGCTGTAAAGTAGAAGATAGTTGGTTTGATGTTATCTGAAAATTGCCTAAAATGTCATGATTTTTAAAATTTTATAATAATAAACAAATAATAAATAATAACAAATATATGTAATAACATATAATAATAAACAATAATATAATAAACAAATAATAAACAAATATAACAAATAAACAAATATATGTAAAAGAATCTGAATTACTTTTTATTATATCCTTCTGATATGATTCAGTTCAGAGACTTGACCTGTATTTTTTTTTGTTGTTTTATTCGTTTCCATGCAGTAATTGTTATTGAATTAAATTGAAAACAAATTCTTTGCAGGTCTTTAGTTGTCCAGTTTTCCCAGCATCATTTCTTGAAGAGAATTTTTCCAATGACTGCTATGTGTACATTAACTCTCTTTGTAATTGTGGGTTTCTTTCTATTTTTTTTAAGGTTTATCCATTTATGCATACAAGAGTTGGGGTATAGGCCAGAGATGTGGGGAGGTGAGAGGACTCACTAGAGACGGAGCAGAGAACAGAACAGGTGGACTGACTGAAATACACTGCTGAGGGGAGCAGCAGGCGAGACAGGAGAGATCTGCTTTGCCATGTGGGTTGCTCCCTAGCTGGCCGGGGATTGAACTCATGCTTCAGAGGCTGCAGATTGCTTCATTGTGCGGTGCTTAACCCCTTGCACTACTAGGGAGGCTCAATTGTGGGTTTATTTCTGAGCTCTAAATATTATTACATTGATATGTGTGTCTAGTTTTTTGTTTGTTTGTTTCAGTACCATGTTGTTTTTATTACTACAGCTTTGTAGTATAGTCTGGGAATGTGGAGCCACTTTTTTATTTTTTTTCTTTGTGGGGAGTGTCAGGATTGTTTTGGCTATCTGGGGATTTTGTGATTCCAGAAGAATTTCAATAATATTTGTTATATCTCTTGAAGAGTGCCATTGAAACTTTGGTTGGGATTGGAGTGATTCTATTTATTGCTCATTCCAGAAAAAATTTATGACTGACAGAATGAAAATATCTATTTAAATACATCATTAAGATAACATTAATTGTACTATCAATTAAGTATAATTTTTAACTAATAAATTAATCAAAATTATGGTAATTGATTTATGAAACATATATAAGATTCCAAATAAAGATAAACTATTACTATACTATATGATCAGTCTTTCTTCTGTTTGTTGCCTGCAAACTAAATTTTAGTTTTGTGCTTTGCACCATGACTGTGGTGGGAGATACTGTTGGGACAGAAATTGAAATGAGACAAGATTATGGGGATGAGAAACAGTATGCTAAATATATTAAGATCTATGGGAGCTACATGTTGGCAATTATTTTCTCTACCACTATTCCCCTAGCCCTGAACAATTACCACCATATGTTACCACACATTTTTTGTTTGTTTGTTTGTTTGTTTGTTTGTTTAGAGAAATAGAAATAAAAAAAGTTGGGCTGCCCTGGTGATTCAGGGGTTAAGGACAGCACTATCAACCTGTCCCCAGCCACTGCAGCACAAGTTGGATCCCCCGCCAGGAAGCAACCCGCATGGCACAGCAGACCTCTCCTGTCAAACCTACTGCTTCCCTCAGCAGTGTATTTCAGTAGACCTGCCTGTTCTGCTCCCCATTCTGTCTCTGATGAGTCCTCTCACCCCACACGCCCCTGGCTTACACCCCAGTTCTTGTATGCATAAATAAATAGATCTTTAAAAAAAATTTAAAAAGCCTATTAAGAAGAAAAGGAACAGAAATAAAGTGGGACTCTCAGGCCAGTGGAACCAGACCAGGGAGGAACAAGGAAACCCTGTTGCACACATTTTTATATGTGACTATCTTTTATCTGCTGATAAATGTATTATATGTGTGCTATGCTGTCTATGCTAGTAAGTGAATAGGAGGAGCTTTAGCTTAGTGATTAGAACTAGGTTTTAATTCTGACTATTGCTTTCTAGGTATAGAGTGAGGGCATTTAATTGACTTATTAACCAACATATGAATTAAAAGAAATAATGTGCTGAATATACGAATAAGTAAAATACTGTATGTGAAAGCACCTCTAAAGCAGCGTCTGGTATGAGGAATGTTCCCATCAATGATTTTTTATTTTTGAGAATTGGAGGTTATATTTCCTTTGATTCCTTTTTGTGGCTTCATCCTGAGATAGACTCCAAGAAACTGTTTTGTTGATTTGGAGAAGTTTAATATATCTAATTAAGAGAATTAAATAATCAAAGAAATTACCAAATTATATTTTAATACAAAGAATAAAATAGAAGATCTATATTTTGTCAACAATATATATTCAGGGTCAGAAATACTTCAAAATTTTGATAATAATTTTTTTTTTAAAAATGTACTTCACTACAGGAAATTTATTATGAGTTGGAAATAGGTGTTAATAAAATTCGTTTTTTCAGATTCTGTACAGCAAAAAAAGATAGTAACCAAAATAAGAGACATCCTACTTAATGGGAGAAAATGTTTGCACACCATACATCTGACAAAGAACACATATTGAATATCTACCAAGAGCTCAAACAACTCAACAAATAGAAAACAAACAACCCAATCAAAAAATGGGCAGAAGAGCTAAATAAGCTCTTCTCCAAAGTAAACATGCAGATGGACAATATACATATGGAAAAATGTTCTTCATCACTTATTATCAGGGAAATGCAAATCTAATCCATAATAAGATACCCTCTCACACCGGTGAGAATGGCCCATATCAAGAAAACCAAAACCAATAAGTGTTAATGAAGATGTGGAGAAAAAGGAATCCTTTTACCATATCGGTAGGAATGTAGGCTGGTCCAGCCACTATGGAATGAAGCTTGAGGTTTCTCAACAGACTGAAAATCATTTGCCATATGACCCAGCAATTCCATTCTTAGATATCGATGCAACAAACACAAAAACATTATTTTAAAGGAAACATGCACTCTCCTATTTATGGCAGCACTATTTACAATAGCCAAGATACAGAAACAACCTAAATTGCCCCAGGGCAGATGAATGAATCAAGGAGATGTGATGTGTACACACAATGGAATAATAGTGATCAAAAAATGATAAACTCATGCCATTTATGGCAACATGGATGGAACTGGAAGGGATTATCTTAAGTGAAATAAAACAGAAGGAGAAAGATAAATATTGGATGTTTTCACTTATATGTGGAATCTAGAGAAACCAAACAAAGGATCAGACAAAGACAAACTTTAAAACCAACCCTTGAAAGCTGACCATACATCTGAAAAATCTGGCAAAGAAGGGGGCAGACAGGGGACGATGGAAGAAATGGAGGGGGTAGGTTTTGAGCAAGACAGACTATGGTGGAGGATTATGGGTGATTTGGTGGTAGAAGAACTGTGGTAACCACATCTGAGGGAAGAAATTCTTTATTGTGAAAAAATAAATAAGGATAAGAAACACATTTTGAAAAGAAAATTTGCTTTTGTTTAATCTTTAAAAGAAATTGCATGGAATAATTTTTTTTTTAAATGTAGCATTACATGAAGAAACTGAGAGATTAAGGTGTTAAATTTCAAAACCTGATTCAAGGTTGTCTTATCACTGACTTCTACCTTAATTTTTCTCTAGTGTAAACTATCTTATGACAGGCTTGCTAAATTAAAATTAAAGCTCTTTTCTGGTTAACTTCATTTCTATGACAAGAAAATCTGCAGTGACTTCCCATTACCTGTTGAGTTAAACCAAACTTCTCTGCTTGGCGCTCAGCATTCTCCACATTTGGACCGACAGTTAATTTAGCCATATTTGCTACTATTCTGCTATGAAATATAAACACTGTAGTGTGTGTCATGCATCAGCCAAGTGACCTCTTTCTCCAATCCAGAAATGTTCTACTTCTATGACATTTACAATCCCAGTTGGAATGTTTACCTCTTTTTTCCCCTTAGAATCAATGTGTTCAGGGGTCTCCCTGGTGGCACAGGGGTTAAAGTCTCAGTGCTATCAAGCTATCACCAGCCACTGCAGCACAAGTTTGATCCATGGCCAGGAAGCTAACCCACATATGGCACAGCAGTCTGGCCTTTTGCTCCCCTCTCCTGTCTGGCCTTCTGCTCCTCTCAGCAGTGTATTTCATTAGATCCTCCTGTTCTGCTCCCCATTCTGTCTCTGGTGAATCCTCTCATCCCCCTGCACCTCAGGCATACACCCTAGTTGTTGTAAGCATACATAAATAAAAATGAATCTTTTTTTTTTTAAAAAAAGAATCAATGTGTTCATGGCGCGCAGACCTCTCCTGCCACCCACTGCTCCCCTCAGCAGTGTACTTCGGTCCTTCTGCCTGCTCTATTCCCTGCTCTGGCTCTGATAATTCTCTCACCCTTCCACACTTCTGACTGTACCCAGTGCTTGTATAAATAAATAAATAAATAAATAAATCTTAAAAAAAAAAGGAATCAATGTGTTCATAAAGATTTAAGTTTCATTTCTTCCCTGCAGTCTTTCCTGATTACTTGAGATTTATACTTCATTTGTAGTTTCATAAAATCTGTATACCTATTTTATAGACATTATGTTTCGCTTTATATTATAGGTGGTTCCTTTCATCTTACTAACTTCCCTCACTCTACTGGGCACTCACCTCAAGTAATTAAAGTGGAAAAACTTATCATTGTCTCTCTTTCAGTAGACAGTATGGTACCTTGTTCATAGCTGTAGTCTGATAATTTATTTGCTTGATTAATGTCGCATTAACACAGGATGCCACCTCTTGGTGGGATGCTGTACGCATCACCAAGGCACCCATAATTCACTGTAGTCTATTCTGTCCTCATCACCCCTTTTATCTTTATCACCTCCCTCCCAGTCTCAGTTTTACAGTTTAATTTTTAGGGTTATTTTGATTTGCTGTTGTCTAACTCTTTGTATTGTTTCTCTTTGTCATGAGAATCTATATGAGAATAAATCGAAGTTCATATCTTTGCTACTAAATTCAGTCATTTATGTTAGAGGTCTGGTGGGGAACACATTAGTAAATCATCCTAATTCAGAATCATAAGATTAAACATACTCTATGAAATTATAGTGTAAGAATTGGGTGTAGCAGCCATTTTGGGAAGATAGCAAGACTAAGGCCATTTTGAGAAATAAAATGCCATTTTATAGGGCACAGCTGTGTTTCGTTTGTGGGCAGAAATCACAAGACAAGGGTAAACAAAACTTAACTGGCACCATAAGAGCTATCCAATCAGGGTAGACCCTGCCCCTGGGGAAAGTTCCCACATCCTGACAACTAGCTATAAAAAAAGCCTTGTGCCCTGCATCAGGGTCCCTCTCTCAACCTGATGAGAATGCTGTGTCAGTACCCCAGGCAGAATTGGACCCTAGCTTAAGCTAGCAATAAAGTCTTTTGCTTTTGCATCTCTGGTTTCTCGTGGTTTTTGGGAACCTCAGATGGAGTTAAGGCGCCAACCCCTAACAATAGTACAGAAAGTGAAAAGCATTATTTTTACCCCAAAATATCTATTTCAACTATTTATTATGGTATAACTTAAACTGCACCCTAGTGACTATTTCTGTTGACTTGAAAAACTTTTCTGAATTATAATTCAGTTCTATAAGGAGATAGTCTAATCATAATTAGCTAAGTTTAGTGCGGCTGAATTAACCCCAGCTTGAAAGCACGTAATTTTTTTAATGAAGAAGGCTAGGATAAATTCTGTAGAAGACCAGGTTCCAGGATTAGGTAAAGAAAACCGTTTAAATGAAAAGCAGAGAATATAGAAAAGTTTTGTGTGTTTACTTTGTGATTTGCCATGAGATGCCTATTGCCCTGTTGGTCTGTGACCACCCCACCCTCCCAGCCATGGCCTGACCTTCATAACAGCTCCAGACTTCTGTTGAGTAAAACCAGGGAATTAGTTGTGTTTAAAGGACTCTAAATCACCCTGAAGTGAATCACTGGCAGTCACCTGTTCCATATGATTTTAAATGGGGAGCTGAAAGAGCAGAAGGACAGCTTCTATAAATAACACTTTATTTTCAACATAAATTATCTTTTCTTATTTGGAGGAAGCATTTTCTAAAAATACGGAGAGTAGTGTGATCCTAAATCTACCACGTAGCTGCTGTGGATTAAAGTTGTTTTCCAACCCATATAAGCTCTGTGGTCTGAAATATAGTGAGGAGTCCTGATACCCTACTCTAACAAGACTCAATGTTGCTCTTTGCTTTCTAAGCACAAAACCCATTCTCTAAATTTGTCTTAGAGCTATTGAAAACTTTAACATATTGAACACATGCAAAACTCTTAGAAATTAAGGCGGGGAAATAATGAAAAAATTAAAAAGTGCTTTTGATTTCCCCCTTTCTTACTAGAAAACCGAATCCTTTCAATTTCATAGACTCATCACAAATCAATACTTCTATGAGACTTTCCTAGTCTTTCACACAGTTAGGAATAGCCTTTCCTTATGTGTTTCCTATACCCATTACTCAGTGTTTATGACTACATAATAGGATGTTTCTCAATATACTGTAACTATTTGCATATGTGCTACTGTTTATGAACCGATTTGTGCATGTGCTCAGTGCTTATGACTATTATAATGATTTGTGTGTGTACGAGTCTTTCCCATTGGATTGTGATTTTCTGAAGGGGAAGAAATGGGAAACAACATTATCCATTCTGGTCTCTTTATGCTCAATGCAGCCACACAATAAACATATTTAACCAAATCGATTCTTTGATTGAATATGCATTTCGTTTTTAAATAGTATTTTTAATGCTGATTTTTACTGAAAAATATTTGTCTCCCAGATTTTCTGCAGAATAAAGTTTGGTATTTTAGGCATTTAAAATACGGAAAGACATTCTGGATTTAGAGGTGTGGCTCCAGAAGTTTCATTTACTAATTTATAAATAATATGACCATATATAGATTCCCAAAATAAACAGCATGCTCTAGCAAGACTAGTTCTGTCTACATTCCTAAATATATCATGTCAGTTCTTAAGTTCTCATGTCTGCCATTAGCGTAGGTGAAATCACTCTATCATTCACTTTTCACTTTCTATACAATTTGCTTAAAAAGCACGAATTGATTCATTATCACTGTTGTTTATTTATGGTTATATCTTTCCATAGATGATAAATTCCTATATTGTTCACTAGGTATATTCCAATATTAACTCCTTTAGATAATAATGTGACAATTTATTTAATGTTGACTGGGAACAGAGTTACTTGACATTAGATCGAAATTTAAATCACAATTTCTTGATAGGTATGGGCATCATAATAAGCAAGTTATTTAATCTAAGACACAATTTCCTTATCTATAAAGTGATAATTATAATGCTTACCTTGCAGAGTTACAGAAGATGAAAGTTAATACATCTAACAGAACTGTACTGAGTACTAATAAACACTAAAAATTAATGTCATCGGCCATTTATTACTGTCAGTTCCTTCTTTGATCTCCTAGAACATAAAAATTGTATGTATGTTGTTCTTTTTTTTTTTTTTTTTTTTTTTTTTTAATAAATTTTATTGTTATATTCCCCAAACAATTGCAGCCCCCCCATTCTGACCCCAATCCCTCCCCTCCCACCCCCGCCCCCCTAAAAGTGTCTCTGGTTCATAGTTTTTTGTTGATTTTGATTTTCACTTTCTTGTAGTTATTCATTTTCCTGGTCCCTTATTTAAGTTTTCTAGATTCCTGCTATGAGTGAGACCATCCGGTATTTTCTTTTTCTTTTTGGCTTATTTCGCTGAGCATGATCCCTTCCAGCGCCATCCATGTTGCTGCAAATTGCATGTGTTTATCTTTTTTGAATGCTGAGTAATATTCCATGGTATATATGTACCACATCTTCTTGATCCAGTCATCTATTTTTGGGCATTTGGGTTGTTTCCAAAGCTTAGCTATTGTAAATAGTGCTGCTATAAACATAGGGGTGCAGGTGTTCTTTGGAATTGATGTTTCTGTGTCCTTTGGGTAAATACCTAGGAGTGGAATTGCTGGATCATATGGAAGCTCTATGTTTAGTAGGTCCAGAAATCTCCATACAGCTTTCCACAGTGGTTGGACCAGTTTGCACTCCCACCAACAGTGCAGAAGAGTTCCTTTTTCTCCACACCCTCGCCAACATTTGTTGTTGCTAGTTTTTTTAATATGTGCCATTCTCACTGGTGTAAGATGGTATCTCATGGTAGTTTTGATTTGCATTTCCCTGATGACAAGTGATGTTGAACATTTTTTCATATGCCTGTTGGCCATTTGCATTTCCTCTTCAGAGAAGTTTCTTTTAAGCTCTTCTGCCCATTTTTTGACTGGATTATTTTCTTTGTTGTTGTTGAGTCTCATCAGCTCTTTGCAGATTTTTGTGATCAGTCCTTTATCATTAGTGTTGGGTGCAAAAATGTTCTCCCAGTTGGTGGGGTTTCTCTTTGTTTTTGTTATTGTCTCTTTTGCTGTGCAAAAGCTCTTTAATTTGATGTAGTCCCAGCTGTTTATCTTTGCCTTCACTATCACTGCTTTGGGTGATGTGTCTGTAAAGATGTCTTTGATGTGCAAATCACGTAGTGTTTCGCCTATATTTCCTTCTATATATTTTATGGTTTCAGGTCTTATGTCTAGTTCTTTAATCCATTTTGAGTTGATTTTTGTGTATGGTGTGAGGTGGTGGTCAAGCTTCATTCTTTTGCATGTAGCGACCCAGTTTTCCCAGCACCATTTATTGAACAAACTTTCTTTGCTCCAATGCATATTCTTTGCTCCTTTGTCAAAGATTAGTTGACCATAAATCTGTGGGTTTATTTCTGGATTTTCTATTCGATTCCATTGGTCTGTATGT